GGCTGGTCTCGAACCTGTGGGCTCAGGCAATCCTCTCGCTTCGGCCTCCCAAAGTGCTGGCATTATAGGCATGCGCCACCAAGCCCCACTGGTATGCAATTTTACGTTACTTAAGCTTTCACCTTTTTGCACAATGCTTGCAACTTTGCAAGACCTTTGGCTCCTCCTTGATATCCTATGCCTTGAGGCTTGCTGAGGGAAGTATGGCCAGCACTCTATCCAAGCCTTCCAAAAAGTCTGAACCCTCTCTTGTTACTCCTGGGCCATGATAGCAGTGCCCATGAACCCTGGGAAAGGTTTTGTTCTCTAGCAGCTCCCACTGGTTAGCTCTGGGGAAATTCTAGGTATAGACTTTTTCCTCTTTTTTTTTTTGAGTCAGAGTCTCACTCTGTTGCCCAGGCTGTAGTGCAGTGGCATGCTCACAGCCACCCCAGTGTCCACCTGCTGGGCTCAGGTGATCCTTCCACTTCAACTTCCAAGTAACCGAACTACAGGCGTGCACTACCACACCCAGCTAATTATTATTATTTTTTTATATATTGTAGAGACATGGTCTCACCAAGTTGCCCAGACTGGTCTTGAACCCCTGGGCTCAGGCAATCCTCTTGCCTTGGCCTCCCAAAACGCTAGAATTACAGACTTGAGCCACCGTGCCTGGCCTTTGTCTTAATTTAAACATTCCAGTATGATTTCTTCTTTGATCCTTCAATTTTCTTTGTTTTTTTTTTTTTTTTTCTTTTTGAGTTGGTGTCTCACTCTGTTGCCCAGGCTGGAGTGCATTGGCATGCTCATGGCTACCGCAGCCTCAACCTACTGGGCTCAGGTGATCCTTCCAAGTAGCTGGAACTACAAGATTGCACCACCACACCCGGCTAATTTTTTGATTTATTATAGAGATGAGGTCTCGCTAAGTTGTCCAGTCTGGTCTCAGGCAGTCCTCTGACCTCGGCCTCCCAAAGTGCTGGATATTATAGGCGTGAGCCACTGCACCCAGCCAATTCTTCAATTTTTTAAAAGTTATCTTAATTTTTAAATGTATTTTAAAATCTTATCATTAATCTCAAACTTAATTGTGTGTGTGATAGAGAATATGATTTTTATTATATTGATTCTTTGATATTTGCTGAGCTTGTTTTGGGGTCTAATTGCTGGTCAGTTTTTATGCTTGTGATATATGTGCTTGGAAAAATGCTTCTCTAACTGTTGAGCACTGGGGGTCATTTGTACATCAGAGGAGACCACCTCACATGTTTGTGGTCTCAGTAGCAGGAAGGAGAGAAGTCCCAGTGAAGATGGTGGCTTTGTAGTTGATTTTTGTTTTGTACAGGTTTATTTCCTCTTCATTCTTAAGTAAAAGATTGACTGAGAATAGGCTTCTAGGTTGATGGTGATGGAGGCTGGGAGCTCCCAGAACCAGCTTCTCATTGGAGAGCCCTTTTACCACTCAGAATTTGGGTCCAGAAGGTGACGGGTTCGTAGAGACCAAGCACAAGACCAGGTAGCTGTTACTGCTCGCAAGAAAAACAAGAAGTGGGATAAGAGGGAAAGTGTACTTCAAGAAGACTTGGCCCAGTGATGAGCAGTATTTTACATAGTCATAATAATTAAGTTGAATACTTATGTAACCAAAGATGATGACTTAAGCATTTGACAGACTGGGGGAGGGAAAATGAGGCGGGTGTGCTACATGCTTCATGTTCTATGGCAGGACTTCTGTAGAAAATCTAGACTTTTTTTTTTTTTTTTTTTTTTTTTGTTGGCGTCTCACTCTGTCGCCCAGACTGGAGTGCAGTGGCTGCTCCCAGCCACTGCAGCCTCAACCCGCTGTGATCCAGCGATCCTTCCGCCTCAGCCTTCCAAGTAGCAGGAATTACAGGCATGCGCTACCACGCCCGGCTGATTTTTTGATTTATTGTAGAGATGAGGTCTCGCTGCTCAGGCGGGTC